TCAATGCTGTAAGTGGTGCACAAATTCTTTATATAATATTATTTAATAGATGATATACAAATAATATAAATTGACGTTTCGGCTATTAATTTTAGCTATCCTCAGAATAAAATTAATATAATGTTGTTAAATTTTTTGCCGAGACGTTTAGGAAAAATTCGTCTTTTTACGCTGACGACTTAAAAATTCACTGCTGGAAGATCAGCAAGAAGCTAGCAACAAGATAGCGACAAGCGTCGAAAACGATACTCGCCTCGACTATACGCTATAAGAACAAACCCGCGTCTAGAAGAAATTTTTAATAACAAATTCGCTATGACTAGACGCGGCTTCTAGCGAATAAAAGTCGCCCCGTGCAAATCACGCTTAAGTGAGAATATTCATATTTATACGCATCACACACAGGTACGTAAGTATCATACACATAGATTGCTGCGCATTCAGACCTGTGCTAGTGTTCGTTGATTATATCGCAGATATGAGTCATAACGTTTAACTGAGATTATGGCAATTTATCAAGACTGCCACGAACTCTCGTTATAAATCGAGCAGTACTTGACATGTCGCGTCGGACTGGCGTCATTGACTTTTACATCGACAATTTAGTGAAACTCTTCTCACGTTGTAGGATAAAAACATAAGATATTTAAATAAAAAAAATCAGTTTTATTCACTGAGCTTACTAATTATAGATAACTACATTCATTTGTTGCACACTGTAAGTAAAGGAAATAATCTCATAATTTATAAAAAAAATAATGTCAATTGAATCGGTAATATTTTGATTACTTACTTTCTTATATGTATTCTAATTTTGATATATTATGACTTATACATATACACGAAAAGAATAGTTTTGCTGAAATATCTAAAAGTTTAGTTAGATGTAAATAACAAAATTATATTTAGATTTACATTTAGCTAAATTTTTAGATTCTTTAGCGAAGCTATTCTTTCCACGTATGTATAAGCCACAATAAAATTATCTTAAACATGGCACGTTTTTATCTGCAAATTTAATCACGAAAATAACAATAATTAGCAATTTATATAACAACAGAAAGAAATAGTGCAAAAGGTAAACTCGATGCAAATCCGTGCTGTCGCACAGTGCAATGACCCAGTCATCCTCTTTCTTTTTCTCCCTGTGATTATACACGGTGGCATGAAATACGCAGATGACCGTCTCGATAATTTTATAGAATAAATAAGCCAATGGAAAAACAAAGATGAAGACACCCGAGGGGGTTACGTACCAATCGTTCGTCAGTAGGCGCCCGGCGCGTTTTTCACGAATATTAAATCGGCTCGGAATCGCCATCGCGCCGCCATTGCACCGAACAACGCTGTTAGATACGTATCGAGATACATATCGGGATGATCGCGCGAATGAAATGGCGCTCCCGAACCAATTATCCTTCTCTCCAATATCCACAACGGGGCACCGACTGCTCCGGGCGACCGAGATGTAGATGATGCGCTCGTTGAATATCGGCCGCGACGATGTCCGACGCAATGAATGGAGGGGTACGCACCGCGCCAACGTGCGTGTGTGAGATAATTGCTCGCACGATTTTGCGTAATGCGGTAGATACAAGATTGCGAAATCACGAGATCAGAAAAGCGCTTCATGGAGCGAGGCAGCGCGCAGCTAAGCGCACCCTACGTCCCGTAAATCAAAGGCGCGCGCTACTTGTAATAATTCCACGATGCTAATTACGTGCCGCGCAAAGTCAATCTCGATACGATGATAAGAAAGCAATAACGATATATAACCTGATAGTCATGCTTCAGGAGTGTCATAGTAAAAGGTTGGACGTGCGATGACTTATCGTCAGTTGCGATCAATAGAGCCGTCTTTACTTTGTTGAGGCACTTGTAAAAATAATTTACAACGACTACTGCAATTTATATTTTAATAACTATAGTGAATTATAATGTCATATCGTGTAATTATGTAAAAATAAGACTACACAACACACACGAGCTTATTGCTCTCGTAAATAAAAATTAATGATTGTAACATTTTTTCTTTTCAAACAAAATTATTATTTTGTTAAACACACATTTAGCTGCCAACATCAGGAACAGAGATTTTTTTTAGTGATTGAAAGTAGGAAAATCGACGTGTTGGAGTCAGACAAGAACTTGTGGGAGATGGCAAGGGAGGTACTCGAAGACGGCTGTTTCAGCGCAACCTTCGCTCCCGGCGGGACCACGGCCGGCGAGACGCACATTGAACAACACGAGGCATCGCCGAGGAACAGAAATGTACGAGGGAGAGCGAAGGGAGAGAAGTAAGGCTCTCGGAGAAAGAGTAAAGCGGCGGTGGGCTGTACACGGTATAATTACAGAGGGCAGAGCAGTGGCTAGACCCACTGCAGCAACTTACCGTTGCCCAAGGCACCAGCATACACGAAATCGGCCGTGCCCCGATCCCGCTGCGACTCGGTCCTAATTCGTATTCGTGCCCCGGGTGTAACAGATAGGATACGCCTCGAAAAACGGCGGAAGGACTGGCAAGAATCTCCCGCACTACGCCCTTCTTTCTGCTCGCCGCGTTCTTTCTTCTTTGCTTCTTCTCCTTTGCAATGCAGATCTGAATAGGATAAGCAAGAGTCTTTTGTAGGATAACATAACGTCTCCGTAAGTGAAAGACACATGGAGAAGAAATAATAATGTAGCAGATTCTAGATGGATTGAGTGTATTTTAATAATCTTACCTTTTCGTATTTTTTACTATTTTATACTTCAGTATAACGTTACTTGTATACCTATTATACGTAGTGGCAGTTCATATGCAATTATTCTACTATTCGATTTAAGCGTTGCAAAATTTAATTGTGACTTTTGAGACACATAACCGCAAAGCGTAAACATGAATTAACCACCTCTTTTATCCTTATATTATATGAGCAAACCATGTCGGAACCAATTGATATTTTTTTTTGTACGTAATGCGAAGAAAGACGATCTTTATGCTTTTATTCTCACTCTGGCTTAATATGCGCGAACAAGAGTGGCGACTCTGAATCCTTTAATTTCGGTTGGCTGCGGTCACCAATAATTAACGAACTATAATCAGTGGACCACTCCATGTAACGTAACGAAACGTAACGAAACGTAACATGGCGCCTTTCGAGCCTCGGCCGCATTAAGCTCTCTGCACACTGGTATAATTGCACATGTACGAGCACATAAGAACAATTTATCAGATGTCACTAATTAGATTATGATGAGACCAATCTACCGTGCAATTATACTGATGCTGAACAGGACCCCAAGTTTTACGCTCGAGAAACAGTTGTTATGATTAACAATATGCAATAAATTGTTTAAGTCCTACGTTATTAAAATCCAATTTGTAGACAACAGAAATTATTAACATATTTCATTATTTAACTTATTAAAATACCTTTTATTCTTTATCATTGCCAAGAATCATTGAAATGATCTACTATCGTAATAGGGAATACGAAAGGGCATTTGTAAGAAAATGGAATAATCTTTTTATCTTCATGACTTTGAACATCTTCTATCTTGGAACAACGTTTGACGACAGCTATTAATTTTTCATACTTTAAAATTTATACGGGGAATAAAAAGACCATTACTTAAATTATGATCTTCCGAGATACTAAATCCCATTTCCTCTTCCTCTGGTAGCAAAGGAATATGTACTATATGTCCTCCTGTATATGAAGGGGCGTATTCTTCGGCGACGGATGAGAGCAGCCTAAACATTTCGCTCTTACTAATTACACGGTACTGCGGTACTGCTGCAAACGGGAGCTGAAGGCCTTGCGGCGGTAAAACCGGGTGAGCGACATTGCAAGCGCGATTTGCGGATTCGAGTCGCGTGAGATGTTTCTTCGCGGTCATCAGGAGAAAAGTAATACGTGTATGCGTATATATACGTACATACGCAAGCAAAGTACCTACAATGATGAATGACGTGCATGAGGAAAGCGATGGAATTTATCGCCGATGGCATTTTGCCCGCCTGTGACAGAAAGTACCGCGAGTGATTGCGGAGAACCACCATCCCTTAATGTTGATGTGTTGGTGTGCTATTTAGTTTGTGACGATTAACTTTGAAAAAATGTAATGAGTACTGTATTCGTAAATGCTAGTAGTGTAAAGTAGATGCACTTTTTTTATCACTTTCATATCAGGATCTGTTCTTTTTAGCTACTTTTTAATTCATCAGAGTTATCATCCAACATGAAAAGAAAAGCAGAAAATATGAAGTTCAGCTGAAAAGACAGGCTTCTAATTCTAAAAAGTAAGTGAACTGCTTTCTATTAGATTTGATAGAATTTTAATTTGCTAAGTCCATCATGCAAATATCGTAACAATTTTTGCAAGTGTGAAAAATATAACACAGCATTACATAATAATA